GCCATAACAACGATGATGGTGGCGAGGAGCACTAGGTACAATGCTCAGACTAAGTATGGGGGAGTCACTCATTTGGTATGTACTCATTCATTTTCTACCTTGTAACTTGCATTATTTTTTTCACACAAAAAAAACAAAAAAAAAAACAAAAAAAAAGAACAAATAAATAAAAGAGAAAAAATGTTAGTTAGGTTGAAAACCCAAAAAATGGGCAATCTAAGCAAAAGTGACTTAAATGAGTGAGTTTGGGAGGAAAAAGGAAAACAAAACGAGAGGCTAGAATGAAAACCTGAAAAGGCTCCTAGACATAATGAAAGAATGAGAGAAAATTTTATCTGAGTTTATACAGAAACGTACTTGAAAAGAATATTTGTTCGTGAAGATCATGAAGACCCTCTTTCTTTGTAGTTTGAGGATGAATGAAAAACTGAACATTTTATTCCTTTGAATTTATCTATTTTGTGGAATGTGAACTGTTGTGTTCATTTTTTACTTGATGGCGAGTAATGGACTAAGTAGGGGGGGTTTGACAGTATAAAATCGTTATTATTTATGTTTGTAATTTTAACTAGTTTTATTTGTTATTGTTTGGGAAATTACACACGTTTGGTGTAATACTTTATTTTGTTTGTAATTTGTTTAAATTATGATTATTTTGAGCTATAACTAGGTAAAGATCATCAAAAGGATCCTTTGGAAGGTCAAGGAAAGTGCAAGGGAACAAGATAAAGTGAAAATTTGGGAAAATAGTCATTTCCCCAGTTGGGTAAAGTCGTAAACCATATACCCAATCGGGTATTGACTTGACCCGAAGATCAAATCTGATTTGGAGGCAATTGAACGTGCATGGCGAAGATTTGGCAAAGATTTATCTTTTACCATATCGGAAAAATCAAAAACCCGATCGGGTATGATGTGACTAATGAAGATTCTGGGCAATTACTCAGGAAATCCGATCGGGCATCTCAAAAACCTGGTCGGGTAAATGGCCCTGCCACCTCCAAACACCTATAAATACACCTCTTTTCTTTCCTATTTGATTCACCAATTCACGTATACTTCTAAGCTCAGTTTAAACACGTTTTTTCTTTATATTTTTAGCATGTTTAGTCGCCAAATGAGGAGCTAAACTCTTCATCTTGGTTTTGCTACTCTGAAGCTTAATGAATTGTAAGTTGTGAGTTATTTTCTTTAATCTTTTTCCTTGAATATTATTTAATTCCTATTCATATTTCATATTAATATTTTGAGCATTACTTAAAGGATCAACTAGTTTTGTTTCATATATTAATTATTACTTGGATTATTAATGCATGCGTCTCATGGTTAATAATCTAAGGGAATTAATTATATTGATTAAACTAATAAACTGTTTGTGTGGAGGTTATCAGTCTCAATCGTTTTCATCTTAAGTTTATTGCTACTATCGGGTTAATATACGGTGTGTGTTCTATATGGACTCGGTAGTAAGTTTTATTAATGAACGCATCTCGTTATTAATAACTACCCTCGATGAATTGGATATACTCCTCGATTGAGTATTCGAGAGGAAGATAGTTAAAGATATATCCGAGATCGACGAACATTTCATTAAGTGGATAAAAGCAAAGTCAAGTCTTCATCTCTATTAAGTAAACCACGTAATTCGTTCAACTTAGTCTTTAAATATATTTTAAGTTCATCAATCAATCTAAAAAAACCCTTGTTACTATTTAATTAAAAAGAAAAATGTTTCTTTCCATGTGGATACGAACTGTATTTCGTTATACTACGTATAATCGTTGGAGCTATTTTTTTAATTAGAGATTATAATCCCGAGCAAAACCAAGAGAATGTATTGGCACGAATGTTAGATCATAAAGAAGCGATCATATCTTATTTAAGTTAATAAAACATAGTGGTGGTATACTTCATCTAGTAAAGGAAAATCCGTCATATTGATTCACTTTATAGTAAGAATAAGAGAATACGTTCTCGCATCGCTTTTTTTTTTGTAGAAAGCTCGACCAGCGAGAAAAAGTGTTTGGCCGAAGCCAAAAATAGGTTGATCCACTTTATTCGCCAAGCGAATGATCTTCGCTTCAATCAGAAAATATATGGATCGAACTTAGACCTGGGTGTAGAAAAATAAGTATAAACAAAACAAATAAAAAAAGAATCATTCCAGAAAAAAAGATAGGTAAAGAGAAGCTTCAAAAAGCCCGTCAAAATAAGAATAAAGACAACTGAGCTAACTTGATATATTGATATTTATTTTGAGTGCACACCACGACAAAGTGCTCGTCAACACCGTCAAATATCTTATTGTGCTTCAAATCTTTTATTAGGAGGTCCAACTTCATTTTATAATAGAGATAATTCCCTAAATAGGAGTAAAAACATTTTGAAATTCCAAAATAGGACTATCATGTTTTTTATTCCCTGAATAGGAGTAAATTTATGCCAGGTTTGACATTATTAGGCTTTAAACATGGCATTCCCCCCAAACCTGGCAAACATGATATATAGTCCTGTTTTGGAATTTCAAAACGTTTTTACTCCTATCTAGGGCAATTTCTGTTTATAATATCCTACAAAGGATGTCTGGTCTGTCTTCTGGATTCAAACCCCTGTCACTAACGAAGCGCACAATCTCTGGTCATGTAGGATTACATGTGAATGCTATGAACAACTACGGACTACCCATCTACGAATGGCCATCGCATCTTGATAAGTCCGCAACATATAACGTGCACTCCCTGTGAAAGAATTAGGTAGCACAATGAGTTGGCCCACCCTTGATGCATTAATCTCGATCACCCCGACCAACTGCATCAGCCAAGCCAGTGTATACGTCACTTCTCAACTCCTTCTGATGTTGACGAATATATTGCAATCGAGATGACTCCATCATTGTATAGTCATCCACCAGAAATGGTTGAAATAAGCATTTCGCTTGTGGTATGTATGATGATCCATTCTTTCGATCTTGCAGACTATATTAAAATAACTCTTTTTAGTGACATGCTTCCTTCCTCGCTCCGTCTCATTGTTCAGGCGGGTCAATCTAACATCCTCTCTGAATCCATCCTGGCCGTACGGAAATAATAATGAATATTGCAACCCCAGAAATGAAGGGTTTAAACTATGTCGTGAACCGCTATGTCGTGAACCGACAAGCTCCACCTTTGTTTGAACAACAACATCTTGCTTTGCTTTGTTCACGTGGAAGTCTCCCTCAATAAGTGCTGCCACTTCAGAAACAGTGGGAGTGTTATATGTCCACCCTTCTGTCCTTCTCTTCCCTATTAGCCTCATTTTCAGTGTTGTGGAATTAGATTCATTGAACCTATCTCTTGCCATCCAGAAAGATTTGGCATGGACGTTGTATGTATCGAGCATATCTCTCAGATCGCGTACAAGTGTATCGTCCAATGTTGTGCCACTCTCTTTCCTGTGAAGCAATAATACTGTAATCAAATATTTGAATGCAATTAATATTGCATTGTACCGCTTAATATTTCTAAGGAACAATAGTTTTTTGTTGTGCTTATACACACACACACATATTAAAATATTCAAATCTTGAGAATTTAAAATGAGAGGAATTTAACAATATTTTTCAAATTTAGCAAGAACTATCTTAGAGCCGGTCCTAGGGGAAACCCTAGGCGGCCATCCCCAACCTCCTTCAAGATCCGATTTTCAACATTTTCTTTTTTAATCAGCAACAAGTTTTGAAAGATGGTGACATTCTCTATGCAATGAAAGATCGAATCAAAGGTTTTCTATGTTTTTGCTCTTTTTAAATTTCTTTTTTCAAGGAATTTGGTTCGACATCTTCATTGGCCGAGAATTTTGTCCGCTTCATGTGGCGGGTGGTATGTTATTCTCCTAGCGATGTCTAGAGGTGCGTTTCTAATTGGTGTAATCGGTCTGGTGAATTTTCGTTGTTCATGATCGGTAAAGCTTTTTCAACCTTGTTGTTTTGACTTCTGATGCTTCAAAAATTCGCCCACCACTTGAACCACCGCCTAGCTCTGGGAAGAAGAACATGATCAAGCGGATCTTCTTTTCGGTGGTTGGTCAAACCGATGCTTCAGAAAATTTCTGCTCGATTGATTTTCCTTTGTTGGTTGCTGGTCAAACCAATTCTCCCTTTCCGATGGCTGGTGAAGCCGGATCTTTTAGTTGTAATTTTTTATTTTCTCTTTGGAGGAGCAAGGCTGTTAGACTAGACTACATTATTGCGGGGTTAGCGACCTGGAAGGATTCATTGAATCTGTTCCGTTCTGTCTCATCCCATTGTAGCCTTAGGCTATTCGTTCTCTTGTATCTTTGTTATCGTTTAATAATAAATTACTTATTTGATTTTCAAAAAAAAATACAATAATCAATACTTCATAATAAATAAAATGTAATCAAAGTAGAAGATGTGAAAAATTCAAAATTCACCAATATTGTAATTAAAAAAGAGCGGAGGTAATACTGTGTACGTTATAAATTACATCTTTCGTCCCGCTAATATTGTCTCATCTATCTTTTTCGGTCCAGCCTACTAAGATTTTTATACCAAATTTGGTAAAATTTGTGTGAATCTAAATTATTTTTAATTTATTCTTACTTTAACAATTCAATATCAGCCACATAAACCGTAGTTTATGAGCCCGTTTGGTAACACTAAAAACGACTGAATCGGCTAATTCTGCTGAAATTTATGAAGTTCTGGCTGCATTGGCTGATTCCGCTGATTTATAGAAAAAATATTTAAAATATATTTTATTAATAAAATAAAGAAAAAATTACATGATAAAATAGTTGAAATGATCTTCAACAGTAACTTCAGCCAATATATTTAGAAAAGTAACTCTAACCTTACTTTTTCTTGTTATCATACAATTCAGCGCGCAATTTCAAAAGTTAAATCATTTCAAAATTTAAATCTAAGGTTCGTAATTTATTGAGAAAAAGCAATTATCTGTACACTTTTTGTACAGAATTGTCTATGGACAAACAATTATAAATACATCACTCTTATGGGATACCACTTTCAGACGTTTCAGTCATCCCATTCACGATTGAATCTGCAATTTCAGGGTGAGTAGAGCTGGTTGATCGTTACGCAACAAAGCACCCCTACCCGTTACCTCTATTGCAGGATTTGCAGCCCCCCTCCCCCAAAAGAGCTGATTGAGTGCCTATAAATCCCAAACCTTAATTTTCGAAACCCTAATTTCTCTGCACTCTCAATGCTAGCATAGCTCCCTCATCGCTGAATTCATTCAGGAGATCACGTATTTAGTTTTATTCGTTCCCGAAAGTTTCGTAACTGGAAGATGGATATAGAAGAAAGGCAAGCGGAGCACATAGAATGCTTCGTGAAGCAAGCGTCGGCACTCAAAGGCTCCGCTTTGGCTACTGTCGTCGTCGAGGCCACGTCCCATCCCTCTCTATTTGCCTTCTCCGAGTTGCTCGCTGTTACCAATATTTTAGAGGTTTACATCTACTCCTACTAGCAGCATTATCATTACTTCTATTGTTATTATTTACAGGGAAAATAATGTTTAATTATACCAAGACCTGTACCAATAGGCAGGGGCCGAGCCAAGGGAGGTGGCAGCCGACCCCGCTGAACGTTTGAGAGTATAAAGCTCCTTAACTCATTCCGTAACTCATTACGAGTAAAAAATAGGACTTCTGGAAAATTTTAAGAACAGCATATAATTAACTCTATCACTTTTTTTTATCATAATTAACTCATCATTTATGACTCAGAAAGACAATCTATTTTCTTGCTATGACTGCCTATCATAATTAACCCGGACATTGTCTAAAAATGATCCACGTTTATTTTAGACCGTATTTCTTTCTCCGCCACTGCCAATACGTACTTTTGAAATCAATAACAATAATACCACCTATCTTGAGTATATAATAAAGTTGATACAAGCCACTATCCCACTATAAATCCTGTCATTTAACCCATCGGGACCTATATCAAATCAGTGGCCCAGTCCCTGTTTCAAAGTAACCTTTATCTATTGGTTGTATATAAATTTTTATGGGTCAAAATAATTGGATTGTAGTTGAAAAGTTCTTATTATCATCTTCATTATATATTCAAATATTTAGAATTAAATATCTTTCAAACTACTTATAATTGCGGTTAATAATTGGTATTATTTGAAGTTATTTGTCTTTAGTATTATTAATGGATTGTGCTGCTTTTAGATTTGCTTATTGGCTTATTGCTCATTCCTTGTCGGTGACTTGTGTGTGCAGCTGGAAGGAACTGAGAACTCTATTTACCTCGAATTGCTTCGCACGTTTGCTCATGGAACATGGACTGAGTACAAAGGTAGGTGCTTCCTTCACTTTTTAAGGGTCCTTGTTCAGCATCAGTTCATCTTAGTTTTAAAAGGCGCAAGGCGGCATGAGGCTTTTTTGTTAAATTTACCCGAGACACGAGGCGGAGGCGTCCCTCATGGAACTTAGCCAAACAATTTTGCTAATCTATATGTGTCGAACTGTCCTACTTCCACATGAACTCCTCATCCTAAAGATAATGATAAAATCACAAAAATGTTAAATGTCATTAACCAAGCTTAATGAACACCAAAATCAGTCACAAAAGAAACACAATGAATATTCAAACAGTAGCAAGAGATGTGTTAAACACCAAAGTCAAAACTTGTACATATAATATAAACAACATGAAAACTGTATGATCATTGATCAGTAAACAACAGTTATGATCCCCATCAGAACAACAGAAATACTTCATAATGATTAGTACTACGTATGTACTAATAAATATGCAAAAGTATACAAAAATCCAATAAATGTACAATAAATCCAACTTATATGTATGCTCGAAGTATACATAAAGTCTAGACTGCGTGGGTGTACTAGCAGCATCTAAACAACTACTTTTAGCAAATAAAATCCTTTGGTTTACATTTTCAAACCTCAGTTTTTCAGATCGGAAAGTCAGACTATTGTAGCATACCCTAAAGCAACCACACACCCATTTAATTACTCACAGACTCAGTGTCATACAATATGCCTACACTCATGCAGTCATACACCCATGCAAATATGCAGAAAGTATACACCCATGTAAATATAAAACATCATAAGAGGAGAACAACGAGGCATAGAGCATGCAGAGGAGTACAACTGCACAAAGAGGCATAAAGCATGCATTCAACCAGAAAGAATCACAGGGAAATACAAAGAGATTAAGGGAAGAAGAAAAGGATAGAGGAGCACAGTGAAGAAGAAGATGAGGAGGATACAACTGTATGACATACCTGTGATTTTGTGCAGAGAGGAGAGGTGTGGAAGAGTTTGATATGTGATATTACAGAGTTGGAGTTGTTATGGAGCAGAACTTAGGAAGTAAACGACTAATAGGAAGTAAACTACTATGGACTCACAGAGTAATAATAGCTTACGTACGATAATTCTAGACCAAGGCATATGAGTTGTGAAAACCCTATACGCATGGAAGAAGACCACCTCGTGAAGCGCGAAAGGCGGCTAGAAGTGAGGATGTTGCGTGCGCCTAAAGGAGTCTGTTGCGCCGAGGGTTTTTTGTTGCAATTTTCAATCACCTGGGTGTGTCTTGTGCCTAGTCATGCCCCAGTCATGCCTTTTAAAACTAAGCAGTTTCCATGGATTTAGAATCTTGTAGCCAATATGCTTCTTGATATAAAATGAAAGGGAAAATGGAAATTGAGGGCATAATAATAAGATTTCTGTACTGCCTTTATTAGACTTTTTCCAGGCTTTCTGCACTATTTTTTTTAATCTTATTTGCATACATCATGTGTACACAAAACAATTATTCAATCCACGCCTTTTTAGTAAGTTAATATGAAAGGATCAAGTTTTTCTGTAGATGATGTAAATTGACAGCTAGAAATCAATGCACTTGCTATTGTCTTCCTTTGGAAATATTACATATTTGCTTGCTTTTATGAAACAGTATAAGCAGTGTTTCCAAAAACTTAGAAAAAGTGTTTTTCAACTCTTGGCTAAAAAACATAAAATGAGTGTTTTCAAGTGACAATTTCTACTTAATTTAAGTACTTAAGAGCTAAAAGTTGGAAGCGGGTAGAGGGGTGCTTTAAACGGCTTTTACTTTTTCTATTACACGATAAGCACCTTTTTTACCAAACACCACAAAGTCACCAACTTTTACTTTTTCAAAAGCGCTTTTTTATGAAACACTACCAACTTTTAATATTAAACACTTTCTCTAAAAGCATTTTAAAAAATCTCTTTTTAAAGTTGAAGCAATCGAAAACACCCCCACAATCTTGTTTGTATATAACTTTGAAGTATCTGTGATGTCTTTAGTGTTTGCAGTCCTTCACTTACAAGTTTAAAATCTTTGTTATTTTTTTATAGCATCAGACCCCCCCTTACCCCACCGTAGGTGGGAGCCTTTGCGGCACTGGGGTAAATGAAAATGAAATGAAAATGATCAGTGTCTATGTGCAAGTGAATAGCATATGTTGGATCTGTTTGGCCATTGTTGCAGATTTATAATTTTTCTACTCCTTTTCTCAAAGTTTATATGACTGTACAGCTCTTGCCGGAAGGCTTCCTCAGTTGATGTCTGATCAAGTGCTCAAGTTGAAGCAACTAACTGTGCTTACACTAGCTGAGTCGACCAAGGTTTATTCTTCACCAATTTGTTTCTTTAAGATGATAACATAGTAACATACCTTTGGGGATTAATATCGTCTTGATAAAAGTTGTGTTTTTATAATGTTTTTCTTCACATTTTATTGATCTTATCTGTCTTTCCGCCATTATATTTCAGGTATGTTTGTCCATACAGACCAATATGCTATCTAATTAAGATTGTTGTTTTAGTCAACACTGTTTTGAATATTCAAGTACATCCTACCTATTGTTTCTTTTGCAGGTGCTTCCCTATGATTTACTTATGCACGAACTAGATGTCACAAATGTCCGCGAACTTGAGGATTTTCTGATTAATGAGTGCATGTACGTGGTGAGTTTTGAACTTATTCTTCTTCAACTTTCTTTTACCATATGTTTTTTTAAGTAGAATACATTCAAATCTCAAATCTCAGGCTGACATTCATTATTGAATGTCATGCTCATTTGTTTCCTTCACTGAGTTATTTTATACAGTTTATTGTCTTCTCCGGTCTTCTGTGTTTGACCAAAACTATTCCTTTGTGGTTTGGTTTTTCTTTGTTGTGGACTTGAGTGGACAGGGCATAGTTAGGGGAAAGCTGGACCAGTTGCGCAGATGCTTTGAGGTCAGTTATGATTTTCATTGTTATCATCATAGGAGTGATTACATAAGGGAAAATTTGATTATGCACCCCATATTTACTTTGATAAATGACCTTGTTCCCTTTTAAATTCTCTGAGTTTGCACCGCAAGGCCCCAAAAGTAGGGTGCAAAGTCAAATATTTATCTTAATATGGTCTTATGGGGTGGAAAGTTGAATATTTTTCTAATTATCCGGTGCAAAGTCCAAGAGAAATAACCCACTTTTGAGATGTCGGTGCTACAAACTCAAAGGATTAAAAAAAGCAGACACAAAGTCCAATTTCAAATTGTGCATCGGGGGTAAACTCAAATTTCTGCATCACGCAATCATTTTTTTGTTTAATCTCTGATCTCAAGCCTATTGTCCTGCTATTTTAGGTGCAATTTGCAGCAGGGAGGGATCTCAGGCCTGGCCAATTGGGGAGCATGATACGGACACTAACAGATTGGTATGTCACTCTGTGGTGTATAGTTTCTGATGGCAGATTGATTGTGGCTTAACCACTTGAATATTTTGTGATATTGTGATTGTGATCTCTTAGCCTTAAAAAGACTTGATAGGGTATCAAAGTTTTTATGAAGTGAGAGGTTTAGCTATAAGAACAATGATTTGATGTGTTAATAAATCAAAGTCAGAACTTGAATGTGGTTCTACTTTATTCTTTCTTTATGAATTTTGAGCTATGTTACTTTAAATACTTCCATTACCTTTTTACTTGGTTTTTTGCTCCTTATATATTTGATCTACTCTATTAAGCTGGGTTTGATATATTAGTCTCCTAATTCAACTCATTGGAACTTGAATAACCTTAATTGATGCTCATTCTCATTTCATAAATTGTAGGCTCACTACTTCAGATAATCTTCTCATATCAATTCAAGAGAAGATCAAATGGGCTGATACGATGAGTGAGATGGGCAAGAAGCACAAGAAAGAAATGGAAGAAAAGCTTGAAGAAGTAAAGAAGTCATTGTCTTTCAAGGTCAGTTCTGCTATATGCAATATCTTACTATCTTTCACAATTTTTTATACTCCTTCCTGCTAAGATTGTCTCATATTTCCTTTTCGGTCCATCCCACTAATATTGCCCCATACCAAATTTGGTAAAGTTTATGTGGTTCTACTTTATTCTTACTTTATAAATTCCAATGTCAACCACCTAAACCCACTTTTCTTAATAATGCACCACTTCCTCATGTCCCCAACTCCCAATGTTAGTGGGACGGAAGTAGTATTAGTATTCCTTTTTTTACCCTCCCTTTCTCATATAATTGTCAATTTTGCAAAGACACCTTTGTTCACGAATAGTTGTCCATTCAACTAATTAATAAATTAATAATGTAAAACTCAATAAAATGACTCAGTTGCCTCACATTTATTGGACTTTTGTTTGTTACTTCAATACCTAGAAAGTAATATGAGTGTGGTTGTCAGTTTTTAACATAATTAATTATCACCTAAGACCCACCATTTTACTTCATTGAATGGTTGTTTAAGAATGGAAGGATACTTTGTAGGATCCAACTCCAGATGCAATAGAACTAAGAAAATTCAATCAGACATTTATATTTGACACCACATATGTATTAGATTTCTAAACACTGAAATTCTTTCCATCCAAAATGACTTATTCCAAATTTGTTTGTGCTGCGTGGATGAAGTTAAGTGAGTTCTCAATAGGGCACACAGGCTCTTGAGTTCTCCAAGAGAGTTCTGGTTTATTTTCTTGTTGTGATCACTATAGCACTCCTAGCTTCTCTAAGATGAAAATATGAGACTAATTTATATCCAAGTACTTGGATATGCTAGTCGATGTGTCTTACTTACATTGTGGCAGAAGTTACAAACGAGCAGGCGGACATCGACTACCGAGGGCATGAGGAGATCTACTCTGAACATGTTGGAGTGATGGATTTCGAAGAAGACCGAAGCCGGCCCAAGAGGTAATTAAAAGGGGTCATATACCTGATATTTGCATGCACAGTTGAGTTACCCTATGAACTGTTAGTTCGTAATCTTACCAGCAGAATATGAACTGCTGAATAACTGAATTACTGAAGCAAAATACTTATTCATGTTCAGATTAAGTGAAGAGTAGTGCTAGATATTTTGACCTTATGAGACTGAATGTCTTTAATTTTGTTCTGAGACAATATTCCCTTTTGGTACTGTTAATTTGGGGTCATTTTCACTTTTGGTCAATGGTCATTCAACTTCCCTCCCACCATTGGTGCAAATTATGGATTTCTTTCCAGTCACTTGTCTGGCCATCTGTGTAGAACTTCCGGTTGATGTTTCTTGGATAAGTAACTAGAAGAGTGTCCGAAAGAAGCAAGCAAGACCTTTGTATTCGTGTGCTAAATGTGATAAAATGAAGACAGACTAATAGTGAAATTGACCCAATAATTGCATGACCAAAAGTGGAATGTTTCTTGGTTCTGAAGCTCAGATTTTAGTAAATTATGCAGAAGAAGACACCCTTTTGGTTAAGGAGATGGAGCAAGGAGTGCGGGGTTGGTTTAGTTTGGCTACCATCCAGTGTTTTGGTCATCAGCCTCAACAACATCGCATGATTATCTTCTTTGAGAATGGTGTTATAGCTGCTTTGAGATTGAACTTACAAACCCGTTTTAGACTCTGAAGGATGGTGCATGATTTTGTACTTCAATCTCTAACTGACTATTTTTTGGGGGGTTGGCACAAGAAGACCAAGTGCCTTGATACGGCTTACATTTATTTACTATATATGGAGATGATACCACACATTGTTAGATCAATCAAATTGCATGCTTGTCTTTTCCATTTGAAGGAAATGTTTGACCCATCAATCTGTGTTACAAGTGAGTGTGAATTGGGGCATCTTTCACTTGTCAGTTCAACTTAAGTGGATCTTTAAGAAAACGGATAATAAACATAACTTCCATGTCCTAAAAAGTCCTTTTAAAATGCGCAACTTTTTCCCTTCGTGGCAACTGTCATAAATCAAGAATCGTAATTATAATTTTACATTCTTGGGGTAGTACTCCGTATTTGAGACTTTTTGGAATGTTTATTGACATTACACTATTACAGGGGTGAGGTACACAAATACCCCGAAAGTATAGGCTACTATTACACACCATTAGGAGTAGAGAACATGTATATCAATTTTTTCTTTAAGAAATAACCCCTAGGAGTAACAAATGTTTGTGAATTTCAAAATATTGTCAAGTTTTTTTATTACTCCCTCCGTCCCAATAAAAACTTCGGTTTTGACCAGGCATATTTTTTAAGATAGTGAGAATTGTATGGTGGAGATAGGGGTGTACTTGGGCCGGGCGGCCCGACACGGAACCGGCCCGACCCGGAACCGGCCCGGCCCGGGTGATAGGCGGTCCGGGCTCGGGCCCTGCTTTAGGTGAACCGGCCCGGCCGGTTCGGGCCTGGTCCGGGCCGGATTTTAATTTTTTTTTTTTTTTTTGAAATTTTTTTATGTTTTGGGTTGGATTAGGTATTTTGGGCCATTTGAGCTGGTTTGGGGTTGAGGGGGAGGGGTAGGGGGTTAAATAGGAGAACCAAAAAAAAATGGACCGGTTTGGCCTGGCCCGGTTTGGCCCGGAACCGGAACCGGCCACTGGCGGTTCGGGCTCGAGCCCCAGTTTTTTGGCCCGAGGCCCGGCCGGGCCCGGGTCCACCCCTAGGTGGAGAGTTGTGTAGAGGAGAGTGAAATGTGTAAGAATAGTTGTAAACTATAAATTGTTTGCTAGAAAGGGAAAGATGAGATAAGTTTGGGACAGATCGAAATGGAAAGAATGAAGATAATTTGGGATGGAGGGAGTATCTAAATATGAGTAATTATTGTTATGTTTTGTCATTATAAAATTGTAAATATGAAAGTATTTTTCAAGTTTAACACTGTTAATTCCTATTTAACGAATAAAAATATGACATTCCCATTTTGAAATTTTCAAGGCAACTCCAATGCTAAGCTTTCAACATTAATAAATTGGGAAAAGTACAGAAAAAGTACTTGTGGTTGGGCCTGTTTTTAGATAGGGTCATGTGTTTCAGTCTTTATCAAAGTGGTTCATGTGTTTGAATTCCCTTATCACAAGAGGGTCACGCCGTTAAAAACGTCTGAAAAAGACCGTTAAAAGTAACTCTGATTTTCAAAAGTGCCCGGAAAATTAAAAGAAAAATACCGGAAGGTGCGCCATAATAAGACGACCGCTAGGCCATCTTTGTTTTTTGTTTTCAGCCACCCTTGTAACCGAAAAGTTCACCGAAAAAATGATATTAGTGAAATCATTTTTAAAAAATAATTCAAACAGATCTGAAAAATCCAAAAGCGAAGGTGGTTTGGAGGTCATCTTGACGAGGCGCACCTTTCGATATTTTTCTTTTAATTTTCCAGACACTTTTGAAAATCGGAGTTACTTTTAACGGTCTTTTTCAGACGTTTTTAACGGCATGACCCTCTTATGATAACAGAATTTAAACACATGAACCACTTTGATAAAGAATGAAACACATGACCCTATCTGAAAATGGGCTCAACCACAAGTACCTTTTCCGTACTTTTCCCTAATAAATTTGTGACACATGGCATTAAATGTATGGAATGTTATATCACATAGGATGCATGTGAAAAGTTGAAAAATTAAGGGCCTGTTTACTAACAGAAATATTTTCTGTTTTTCCAAAAATTTGGAAAACTGGAAATAGAAAAGTCAGAAAACATGTTTACCAAAATGTTTTCCAGGGAAAAAAATCGAAACAAGTTTCACTTTTTACGCATGAATTGGAAAACAGGCTTATATGCGTTTTCTAGTTTTAGAAAACGCGGTGCTACAGTACTTTCATTTAATCGCTCGCCTTCATCCTCCTACCACCATTAGTGCCTTTCATTTCTCCCTTACCTTCCTCCGCCTAACTTCATTACTCGGTTTTAACTAATCTCACATTCTCACCTTCCTCCTCCGCTCCAGCTTAAAAATCGGACGTGAGCTTCGCCAAACATTGCACCTCTTCTCCAAGACGCCACAACTTCAGATTCGTCTGAGCAGAGCTTCCCTACCTCTTCCTCACATGGCTACCACGCTCCAGGTTCACAAATCAGGCCATCGCTGCTAGGAGCTGAGCCCCGACATCACGACATCTCCCTGTTCTTCCGTCGGCTCCTGTTCTGCCAACGATTTGAAGGTAAGCTCTGAAACTCAATAAATTTTTCAACTTTTCTTTTTCAAAATTGAAATCCGATTGGAATCTGAAAACCAATTCAGTTTCTTAAGCCTGAACTTCATGGTTAGGGTTTGTTTTTCTTAATTTTACTTTTAGCTTTGTAGCTTCGTTTGGAATCCTTAAAACCAATTCACTATTACCTTCAGTTTTTTTCATTTCTGGTAATTGTTGCTGTACTAGTCTATGATTAAGGCTTATTTGAGTTTGTAATTTACATACTACGTATATACTTTTGTATTCTTGTTTTATGCTTTGAGATGTGTAGTCCAGGTTAGTAGTTACTTCATATTTTATTTTGTACTTTATTTGTGTAGTTTAGTTAGTTTTATTAAGTTGGTAGTTGATGGAGATTGGGGAAAAATATGTTGTTGTTCAAGGGATACGAATGGAGTTAACCACCCCCTAATGTTATTGGTTTCTTTTTCAACTATTCAATTATTTTCTTGTATCAAATATAATACTGAAGTTTACTAATCTCAATATATAATGGAATCCATACAAACTTTGGCTTTGAATGCGTCTTTCTGAAGGTTAATAATCTGAATTTTTAGGACTGCACCCTTTTCAATTATAGCCCTGACATTGCAAACTTAGCCAAATGCTTAAGAAATAATCTTTATAGTAAAAAAAAGCCATTCTTGATAGTACTGGATATTATTAGTAGTATTATTTTTTAGCAAATGAAAAGTAATTGTTATTAGATTGAAAAGGGAATTCTTATTACTAGCTGACTGTATATTTTCCTATCACATTTTCTGGACTTGAACATAGTTACATATGCACACAAAGTATATATCTACTCTTTTTATGATGTCATCTAGCTTAAGGTTTTTCTTTTGAAAGTATGTTTTTCTTTAAACCGTTTATTCTCAACCATAGATTCTCTTGTATTACCTGTATCTTCTCTCCCTAAGTTTACAACTTTTTCAGTTATTTTCATTCCTGATAATAAACCGTTTTACATTCCTCGCTCTGTTCTCTCCCTGTATTCTTGTTGTTCTGATTAACATGTCACTTATTGAACTTTCAATGTTGGGGAACAATTATGTCAATTTTGTTTGTTATTTCAAATGTTAGTAAATGTGCATTTTTTTTTCAAATAGCAAGTCAACGTTTTCTGGTAAAAATGAAATGAAAAATTGAAAACTTCTGGTAAACATGTTTTCTGATTTGGAAAACAAAAAACTGGAAAACGAAAACAGAAAACTGAAGACTTGAAAACAGAAAATGAAAACAGAAAAATATTTCTGTTAGTAAACAGGTCCTAAACTTCCCAAACGGTACACAATGCACACCGTCTATAATGGATTGTTTCATACGTGTGTATCATTTATTTAATTTAAATCAAATGAATTTAATTGCAAAAGAAAAGGTCCTCAACTGCAAAATCCTGCTTAGATGTCTAGTCTAAAAAAATCATGCCAAATGGCTAATAAATACTCCGTAATAGGCTTTCTAATACACATAAGTGGAAGTGTAATGATAAGATATTAAACTACAAAAGATGTCTCCAATGCATACCATCTCACGATTCTCACCAGCCCAATTTTAGTGTCTACGTGGAATTTAATACAAATCAATATATATATATATATATATATATATATATAAGAGGAACTTTTTAAGAGCATACAAAGCGTCACATAATCCTGCCATGTCATTATATATATTAATTATTTAGTTAATTTGTACCTTCTATTTTTTATTAGCTAGATTCTATTTTTGATTGCATATTGATATGGAAACAAAAATCCGTAGAAAGTACTATATTAAACAGGCTCTATTTTAGGCTAAGTTTATACTCCGACAGGTATTCTTAGCCAAAAATACAATACGTTTTAATTTCTATAACAATTAAATATTATAGTATATGTTTAGGCTTAGAATTATGTGTTACAATTATACGTTTTAATTCCATTACAACAATTAAATGTTATCGTATACGTTTATACGTTTAGGCTTACAATTTAAAAAAACAGGCTCTATATTTAGACCATTTTACTTAATATATACTCCGTATTAAATTTCTATGAATATCCATCTTCATAAGATTATATTAAACGTTTAAAATCAGGTTCATAGCAATTATATTTACTTGAGATGCTTATGTAGAAGATCAATTTAACTATTTTTCATATAATCTTTTTCTGGCTTCACAAATGGAATATATTTTACATATTTTTTCATGATTCCACTCATTTAGCTCATCCAGTCATAATTTAATCAATTTGAGTCAAATAAGCTAATTAAATTTATTTTAGTATTATCAAACAGACTCTATATTAGACTAAGTTTATTTTTCTTTTAAATCACATTACATATGATCCGAAAGAAATCAAATTTCAAATTAGCTAAATTACATTTGCTCGTGCATCGCACGGGCTTGAAAGCTAGTACAAAGTATATTAAAAATAATACTCGTGCTAAATTATACTCCCTCCGTCCCGAAAACAACTTCCCACTTTCCTTAAATGGATGTCCCAAAATTAACTTCACACTTCAATACTTTCCTTATTTGGCAAATTATCTACATCAAAAAACTGATAAACAGTGTCAAACAGTGTTTAAACAGTGCCAAACAGTGTTTAAACGGTGCCAAACAATGTTTAAACAGTGCAAAACAGTGCATTCTACAGTAAAGTCAAATTTATTTCCTAAAAAGTGTGTGAAAAGTCCTTAATGAAGCCTGTTTTTTGTCTATTAAGCAAGTTTGG